GTGCAAACGTTAGTGTAATATCACTCAGGTTGAATGTTAGTATAACTAATTTTTGGGTTGTATATTGGTATTAGTGGGAGCTTATTATGGCAGGTTAATAGTACATATTTGTAAATCGACTCAATAAGCATACTTTGTGATGTATGCTATGTGAGTGTGGGAGTTTGTATATTTCTATATAACCTGGGGAAACAAATGATTGATACAGGTGTTTTATATATGGTACAAGTTATAAGACAGGTTTTACCATCGTGCTTAATAACTAAGGTGATAAGTAGTGTTGTTGCACCTGTGAGATCATGTTTGATTAGTACAGCTTATAATAATTGTAAACATGTGTATTAAAAACCTAGTCGCATCTCATCCTTGAAAATTCGGGATGGGGCGTGACAATCTATTACTTTATTCATCAATAAAGACCCCCCGACCATTGTTGCGGTTTCTCAAAGTGAAGTAGGTCACCCGGACCGAACCAATATATATTTGTGTGTTGACTCAATATTTACATTACTATCATTGATTGCATTATTTATTATCCATTAATTACACCTTATCACTCACTCGACTGTTAATCTTGCACAAGACTATTTTGTGCATCATCAGTTTGGTGTCATCTGTGAAAAATGACCAAGTTTTCTACTACCTTGCTACTCCATGGCAATCATGACCAGGTTGATGATTCAACAACCGGGAGACAACAACCCGACCCCTCGGGAGAAGGCTCCACCTCCCCTCGCACCCTCAGAACCATCCAGTACGACAACTCCTATGGTCGGGCAACAGCTTTTGTAGACCATACAGCAGCTGGTAAATCAGAACTAGCAAATCATCCACTTGATGCTCACCTCAGGAGGTGTTGCCCCTCAGCCTATAGGAGGAGCGTCACTCCCTCCAACGGGAAAAGCACAGCAACCTCTCCACTCTGGGTGCCAAGCTAGCCCCCACCGTGGAGCCTCGCGCCAGAACACCCCCGGGCAACGCCCAGGTGCCCCTCGCCCAAGAGTCCCTCCTTAGTGCGCAGGAAGCTCACATGTTTCCCCTCCTCATGTATCTGCACAGGAAGGCGAGGGAGAAAGCCAGTATGCGGATCATGAAAGCCATTACAATTACCCGACCAAGAATGTCTCCAACCAATGGGACAAGAAGATCAGGGAGGTACAAAACCAGCTCGGTGATACCCTCAATGCCATCAAAGCACATGCACCAAAGATGGTGGATTACTTAGTAAGGCACACTGATACTCCGTTCGTTGCAGATATTGCCAATTACCCCTTACCCTCGAAGTTCAAGATTCTTGCCATTGAGATCTTCAACTGTACCAAAGAACCTCTAGATCACCTTGACACCTATAAGTTCCACATGCAACTCCACAACGTGTCTGATAAGCTTATGTGTAGAGTCTTCCCTACTACCTTGACAGGGTCTACTCGACAATGGTTCGCGAAAATCAAACCCTCCTCTATCCACTCCTTCACGGAGCCAGACGATAAGGTAACCATGGTCGCCTTCATTGTAGGTTTGCGCTCCTTCGGTTTTCTATTCTCTGTCCTAAAGAAGCCACCCTCTAGCACGCCAGAACTACTATCAAGGGCACAAAAGTATATGAATGCTGAGGACTTCACCAAAGCCCAACAAGGTGAGTCCTCCCGCAGGGGGGAGAAAATAAAGGATATCCACAAAGACAAAAGAGAAGTAGAGAACAAGAGGAATAGGACAGAGAGAGCCTTTGTCAAAGACCACCTTGGTCTCCCACCTCCGAGAGAGCGGCAAGCCTTTACGCCACTCAACGCTTCAATGGAGCATATCCTATTCCAAATACAGGACGACCCCGCGCTTCGTTGGCCAGGCAAAATGAAGTCCGCCCCAAATCGAATAAATCTAAGCAAGTATTGTCGTTTTCACCGCGACCATGGCCACGATACTGATGAATGCTATGAGCTCAAGAGGTAGATCAAGGAGCTCATACAACACGGCCAGTTGAGGCAATACATTGCTGACAGAGGACAAGTCCCGCCACCTGACTGGGACCAAGATGAAAGAGAATGCTAGTAACCCCTCGATGAAATCCAAACGATCTCTTGACGGCTAGGAGGAGGAGGCAACTCCAACTTCACCAGGAAAGTCTTGTGTCATCTATAGGACACCGAACACCTGAAGAGCTATTATCAATTGTGGGTACAAGCCAGTGGCTCTCATTTTATATGTCCTTTATTATTTTAGTTGATTTATTCTATTATTTATTATTTTATGAAATAAAACTTTGTGAAGATTATTGTATCCAGAACTGTCTTGCTTTCATTTCATAAAGTTTGAAAATAGCTTAACATCAGCTAACATCAAGGTAGACAAAAAGACAAAAATCGTCATACTCCCGACGATCAGTCACTACTCCCCAAGCCACTAGCATTAAGGCTCTCTCCATCACCATCTACTTCTGGTGTCTCATATGGGACAAAGCCAAAATCAAGTGACTGCCTAGCCGCTTTCTTGTGCTACCCGAGTCACCACCCGAGCGACCCAAGACTCTACTCGAGCGACCTGAGGCCTCGCCCAAGTGACTCGAGGTGCCGCGTAAACAACCCGAGTCAAGCGACCTAAAGCACTATACCTGTGCCTAGGGCCCCTCGGTATTTATACCCAGCGGTGCCTAGTGCCCCTCGTCATCCTCACCCAACGGCGCCCAAATCTCAATCTCCAGCATAGCGGCTCTCACGAGGGTCGCCAAAAAGCTTGGTCTATCTTTGCTATTTCTCAAGTAGGCAGCCTATATCTCCAACTTTGCACTCTCTCACGAGTCACCAAGAAGCTCGGCTTATCTCTACTCTACTCCCATGCGAGCAGCCTATATCTCCATCTCAGAGGTTCTCACAAGAGTCACCAAAAGTTTGGTCTATCTCTGTTCTGCTCTCAAGCAAACAACCTATGTATCCAGCTTAGTGGCTCTCACGAGAGTCGCCAAAAATCTTGGTCTATCTCTACTATCTCTCAAGCAAGCAATCTATATCTCCGCTTCGCGCTCTCTCATGAGTCCCCAAGAAGCTCGGGCTATCTCTACTCCGCTCCCATGTAAGCAATCTATATCTCTAGCTTAGCGGCTCTCACGAGAGTCGCCAAAAGTTTGGTCTATCTCTGCTCTACTCTCAAGCAAGCTACTTATATTTCCAGCTTAGCAGCTCTCACAAGAATTGTCCAAAAGTTTGGCCTATCTCTACTATGCTCTTAGGCAGACAACTTATATCTCCAGCTTCACGCTCTCTCGAGTCGCCAAGAATCTCGGTCTATCTCTGCTCTACTCCCACATAGGCAGCCTATATCTCCAACTTAACGGCTCTCACGAGAGTCGTCAAAAGCTTATCCTATCTCTGTTATGCTCTCAAGCAGACAGCCTATATCTCCAGCTTAGCGGCTCTCTCACGAGTCGTCAAAAGCTTGGTTTATCTCTACTCTGCTCTCAAACAGGTAGCCTATATCTCCAACTTAGCATCTCTCTCATGAGTCACCAGAAAGCTCGACCTAATCCTATCTCTGCTCCCAAATAGTTTATGTATCCAGCTTTGTGCTCTCTCACGAGTCATCAAGAAACTCGGCCTAAAGCAGGCTCAATCCCAGCTTAGCGCCTCTCTGAGGAGTTCCCAAGAAGCTCGACCTCAAAAGGTGTTACTCTCTCATGAGTTAACCTCAATTGCACTCAACAGCCCCTCATACTGGCCTCTCTATTACTAGATTCTTGAATGGCTCTCCAAGCTTCAATGTCTTTGACAAAGGTAGGGAAAAACAACAGCAGCCTGCAACCATTCAAAAAGTAGAATATAAAGGAAAGGAGACGGGTGCAAAATCAAAGTTGATAATGCCCTCTAGACCTCGAGATCTAGCCTTTCTGATATCTCCGGGAGTCGCAGACCTCCAAAGCTACTCCTTGGCCAAAGTCATGTCAAAGCATGAACACAGAAACACTAGTAGTAGCAGGGCAACTAGGTAAAGCTACAATCCCCATAGAAAATGCACTAGAGTCTCAACTTCTACAGTAGTACATGGGCTAGTTCCAATATACACAGAAGTCCTAGTCTAGAAAGGAGTGGGGGCACCATCGGATCCTCCTCTCGGGAAGCAACCTGGCCAACGGACCTCAGCTAAAAAGAACTGGGGGAATCAAATCTCGCCCTTTTGAGAAGAGGGGAAGACGCTACCCTAGAAGCATAGAGAACCTCCATCTCTATTATCGCTCTATCAACGGGAGCGCCTGTAATCAGAGACAAGGTTAAGAACTAGCATAGCTGAAAGCCATCATAGTCTCTCTCTTTAGCGAAAACCCAGAACACTTACCCGTCGCCCATGAATACCTAATAGCTATCTACCAAAACACAGCTTTCCACCACTGTCGGTTTTACTAATTTGTGTTTAAAACTCAAATTGAGAGAGATAGAATCATTTTTTGAAGAAATTTGATGACCAAACCACCTTCGGCAATTGTTTGTCTTAGATTTTGAAAAAATACCCATATTCAAAAAAAATCGCCTCAAACGAACAATTGTGCGCAAAATTATGATTGTTCAAAGTTTACCAGTTTTTCATGATTTTCTAATAATCTAGTCAAGTGCCCCAGCGCGGGCTCTTTTCTCCTAACTTTTCCCAGGCGTCGCCCAGACCGCATAGCATCCGTTGCCATCGCCAAGACTAGCCTTCTGCGTCAACCAGCATTGCCTCCTACTCTAGGACTTTGCCCAGCGCAGGCGTCCTACGTTTGGCGCCCTTTGCCAGCCAGTGCCCAGAGTCCCTTGCCTGCTCTCCTAGCATGGCGTTGTCAGCCGCTATTCTGCGCAGTCGTTGCCTAGCCACCTAGTGCCTCACCAGCGCCTGGAGCACCCTTAACCTCACCCGAACAATGTTCACCTAGGTCACTTCCAAGGCATCCTCCTCTAATGTCTTCACCGTTTGCCCTATCAACACTGTCTAAATGGCCATCAAGTGTGTCACCTACATCGCCTAGACCAAGGCGTCACCAGCCAGCGCCCAGGCATTTCTTAGTACTACCTGACAGCCCCTCAGCACCAGCATCATTTCCCACGAGCGATTTGGGGTCACCCTCCACGCGTCACATCCTTCGCATTGGACTTTGTGAGCGTTGCCTCCTGCACTCTGTCTACTGTCGCCAGTGTCTCGGGTGTGACCTATGCCAGTACTAGAGGCGCCTCTTGCTCCTGCAAGTTTATCTCGAACATGATTGCCTCCATTTCCTTCTAAGCAGCTCAACATTGTGCATCGCGAGGCGCCGGTGCAGCCACCTCCTTTGGCAATGTGATGAGATCCATGTCAATTAGCGTCACCACTAGTTTCCCTCGAATGGCATCTACCCCTGTGCTACCTTGGGTTGCCTTTCTACTCTCCATTAGTGGATTTTCCCAGGAAGCACCGTCTATAAAACCCTTATTCTCCGAATCCTCTATTAATAATGAAGGCTTCGATGGAAAGTTTCCTCTATAGTGGTACTACGATAAAATTAGAAGGTGGAGTAGTGAGTTTTCAAGGTAATGGCTAGTTTTTGTGGGAATGATGGTACCTGGGTTGCTTAAAAGAAAAGCTCGAGCTCGAGCTCACTCATGCCCTTAATTTCTTGTCATCGCAAGGGCTTGGGGTATGGGAGGCAAATGATGAGCCCAAATTCAACTAAGTCAGGCCCAATAAATCAAGCAGGTCAAAATCAGTTAAAAGGAATGGCAAGTCCAGTTCGTGAATCCAACCCAGTCCAACACCCAAGGAGCTCAGACAGATAAGAGCCCGTGGGAGAGAGATCATCGGGGTACTCACCCTCGAAAATCAAAGCGATCTTAATTATACTTACCTTTTATAGCTATCCTCCCCAAAAAGCGAGTGTCTTTACCCTTACGTCACCACTTCACCATGCCTATAAATTGTGAGCTCTCTCTACATGAGATGATACATTGAGCTCTACCTCTATAGCTCTCTATACATACTTAGCTTTTCTCCTAACTATCGCACCTCTCCCAAAGCTTTCTCTCTTACTTTATTCATCAATAAAGATCCATCGGCCACCGTTGTCATTTTTTAAAGTAGAATAGGTCACCCAAATTGAACCACTATATATCTGTGTGTTGACTAAATATTTACATTACTGTCATTAATTATTTTATTTATTGTCCATTAATTATACCTTATCACACACTTGACTGTTGATCTTGCACGAGAATATTTTGTGCATCAAAACATTTAAATATGGACCCAACAATTCTGTGGTGTGAATCCCATTTTTATTTAAGCCCAAAGTTGCTCCAAATCAAGTTGTTCATAATCAATTTTTTGAATAATCCCCCACATGAATGAAAATTGGTTGTATAAAAATACAAACATTAATTCAAGTACAGTTGAAAGGTTACTACATCGGGATAAGTAGCCTAAAGGCCTTGAACTTTCCTTAGTGAAAGACTATCGATTTTACTTGGCTAATCAGTGAACTTTATGCCTTTGAACTGTCAGTTGTTTGTATAAACCAAGACAATAGAATTCACACAATTTTCCTTCGGACACAATTGGTTATTAGGTTTGTGTTCATTTTGGCCGAGGCCAAATCTAGAAAGCACAAAATTGCCACTTGGTTTCATGAGTAATTTACAGAATTCAGCCTAAGATTCTCATAGAAGTGGCCCCTTCTTATTAACATAGACAATTTATGATTGAGAGTGTTTTGCTATACCCTACTTGAACTTCTCTGAGTCATAGAATTCATTAAAAATATAACTTGCCCCAGTTTTACGGCAGATATATACTGTTTCATCATAGGAATGGGAAGAAGTTGAAAACCTCCTTAGTTTGTCTCTAAGTTATACATAATTTGGTTGTGCTTTTTAACCTAGATCTTGAGATCTCCAGTCACTAAGTTGGGTTATCATTATGGTGACTCTTGGTTAAGTAATAGGCTTTAAGCCTATTCTCTTCGATGACCTTTCTATTTGTTCTCTAGTCAAACTTTTTTTTAAGCAAATCCATGATATTATCTTTTAACTTCACATAGTCAATGAATATAATACCATTCGAGAACATCTATTTAACGGTATTATGTCTATGACGTATGTGTCGAGACTTATCATTATACATATTATTTTTTGCCATTTGAATCGTAGACTGGCTATCACAGTGTATACGTATTGCTGACATAGACTTTTACCAATTTTGAATATCCTATAAGAAGGAGTGAAGTCATTCTGCTTCTATAGCTTTATCTAAGGCAATGAATTTAGACTTCATTGTAAATCTAGCAATACATGATTACTTTGAGAATTTTCAAAACACGGCTGCACTTTCCAAAGTAAAGAAATATCCACTCATATATTTTGAATCTTTAGTATCAGATATCTCCTTCAAGTACAACTAGGTATTTTTTTTCTAGTGCAAACTATAGTTTTGGTATATTTTAAATATCTCAAAACCCTAAGTATTATTGGCAAAAGGTCTTTACTAGGATTACTTGTGTATCAATTTACTCGCTGATTATGCTATATTTAGACAGGTATAATTCATGATGTATTAGACTAACTATTATACATGCATATTCTATTTCAAATATGATTTCATCATTATTTTTAGAAAAAATGGATGTTCACATCAACAGGTGTTTTTGTAAGTTTTATCTCATACTTCTTGAACTTATTGCTTGCTCCCAAATGCGTGGTAAAATCTTAATTTCCTACTTCCCAAAAACGTAAGAAATTATATCGAATAGTAACTCGATCGATTACTAAAGTCATCTCCTCAGGAAAAATTAGGACAGATTTAAATAGTGATGAAATTAAAATTAAAATAAAAATTTTTAATTCAAAAGTGTGTTAATGATCAGTAAAAATTAAGAAGCGATATTAAAACGAATCAGATAATCAGAGTTCATCCCACCATGAATAAGAATTTTGACCTAATTTATTACGCATTCAAGATCGTAATCAAACTGACTTGGATAGTGAATATTCAACTAAAACCAAAATTTAGAAAATATGTATGTTAATTGATTGAATTAATTCATGAAAGAATTAATGTCATGTTGATTGCAGAGATTCTAGGAATTACTCGTGTCAAATTTAATTGTCTATGAATAAGCAAAGATGTTTACAAATCAACTATGTTTTCAAAAGCAATCATTTCAATCAATGGAAAATAACTTTGAACAATAAAACCCTAATTAGGACAAAACTATCCATTCACAAATGGAGAATCCTCATCCGATTATACCGGAATTAAACTACTCACACATATTGAAAGTAAAATAAAAAACACATATAGAAGACATGATGTTTGAAAGAAAAAATAAAACTTGTATTGAAACCAAAATATAAACCAAATACCTTGTATTGAAGACAAAAGTTGAGAACAATTACAAGAACTAGGAATCGAATGTACTTTGCTTGCAATAAATAAATAAACTTAGTAAAGACAATGCCTTAGAATTACTCAGAACAAGAACATGAAGAACTCTCAAAACCCTAGCTGCTAAAAATGTTGAGAGAGAGATTAGACGTTGGAAGGGGAGAGGACTCCTTTCTCTTCAATTTTGGTATTTAAGAGACAAACCTCAGCTAAATTCCTTCTTTCTTTTTGCTTACCACCAATGAGACTCGTGAAAGGCCTCTGCTAATAGATTTCAAAAAGTGTATTGATTGCATTTTAACTCTGATGAACCAAAAGGAAGCAACCCTGACTATCAATATTTTAGTGTTCTGTTTACGATGAACCAGTAGGTGAACAACAACAAACTACTAGAACTATTCTCTATTTCAGATGAACCAGTAGGTAAAATAGATATGAACCAGTAGCAAAGATTCTATTTTGATATGAACTGGTAGAACTTCACTACTACTGGTAGAAAACTTTCTGCCACTTGATGAATTGGTAGAAAACCTATTGATAAAACCAATCTTTTTCTGAATTCTCACTGCAACGCTCCTGGTTTCATCTTTGACTCATCTAGCTCATTCCCTAAGTCCTCCTAAGAATTAAAATAAATATAAAACCATCATCTTTACACAAATTACCGGCAAATGCAAAGATTCCTCATAAAACTCAAACTCAACCTCAACTAAAAAATATATATATAACTAATAAACAAAGCTAAAGTGAGTAGTTTGAGACATAAAATGTGCAATATTTTGTATTCAACATTCTCCCAACTTAGGGTTTGCTATTCCCTAGCAAACTAAAACAAAACAAAAATAATATCCAAACATTACACCTTAAATTCCAAAGCAATCAATCAAACATTGCAAACATAATAAATTGCAACGCAAATGCTTTATGAACTCAAGGAAGATACTGAAATCAAAAAGTACTTAAGTAGATTAATTTCGCCCTTGGGAAAAAAAAGCAAAATGTAATAGCCTTGCTAAAACCTATGGTTCTCCTACTTACGCTATCAAAACCCAAAAAGACAAATAACCTAACTATTAAATCCTAATAACTCCCAAAAAACAAGACAATCAAAAGAAGACATCCTAAGTCCAACATCATTTAGAAGCATTAGATTCATCAAAACTATCATCCTCCTCAGAACTAGTTGAATACTCCCCACTACTACTCTCCTTAGCAACACTAATGGGTTGCGCAACAATAGGTGGTGATCCTACTGGTATAGAAGTAGTAGGTGTTGCAGTAAGCAACAAAGTAACCTTCAGAGTTGTCTCTCCTAAAATTAGAACCTCAAATAACCGATGTATAATCCTCATAAAATCGCCAACCAACCTTTGTTTCTAGCCTACTTTGTGAAAGCTCAATAGGTAGGAGATTGATGTGTAGTAGCAAAAGAAATAGATGCAATCTGACTCCCAGATCCACCAACTTTAGACATAGTCGAACCTTTCTCTTGCTCCAGTTACTAATAGGTCCAAGCTCAGGAAGGCTAATCTGATGGTCCCTTCTTCATCCCAGCTTTGAGGCAGAGGTCTATAACCATACATCCAAAGGGCATGTTCCCTTTTGGCTTCCTCGTCGTACAATATTCTCGCATAAGCCCCCAAATAATCTATGCAATATCCATCCTCGAACCTACCATGAATTCAAGCAATAAAATGATCTTAAGCATCCCCAGCTTCGTCTTAGACCCCTTCAAATAAAAATTGTAATGCAAGTTCTGATTAATCAATTTATTCTCAGCATCCAAATGTCCATGAATGAAAATACCCATCAAAGTCTTAAATCATATTTCATATATGCCCAAAATTCTCAAGTATATGCAATGCAATTTAATTGAACAAGATGTATATACTAGGCAAAGGAATTTAAGGCATAACAAGACTATCAAATAAAAATTAACATAAAAATAATTTTAAATTTAAAACATAAAATCACTTTCGTAGGCAATCAGGATTGCATTTAGCCTATACAATAAGAT